TACTATCACTGAGAGAAATTTGAAAAATGTTCTTTTTGGAGGTAATTTCCTTTTAATCAGCACAAGTTGAGCAATAAGAGCTTCACTACCATGAAGGCTAATCAAGATGGGAGCAAAAGAATACACATGGCATTTGTTTGAGTTACTTTTATAAATTCGTTTACCCCATTAGATGAATAAACCAAACCTTAATGTAAACAGTGACTTTGTGGTCAACAGCACAGAATGCATTTGGGAGACTGTCTTGCTAATAATTAGAATAAGCAGGATTCTTAAGTTACCTTTGGACCTTGTCACAAGTCAACAAAAAAACGAGATCCCCCAAACCCTTGTTATGGATTCCAACGCCCAATGTCAGATACAACATCTCTTTGCAAAGTATCTACAGAGAGTCTCCATTGAAATGTTTACTGTCTTAGCTATGCTAATTATCAAAACCCATTTGGTCTGTAAGGAATGTGTCTTCCCAGCACATAAATTTAAACTTACAGAATTACAAGTGTATCCCTAGAAATCCATTGAGAGACTAACGATAAATTTCCCTTCTGATATCTGGTAGGAAGAAACTGAAGAGGGTTGAGGACTTTGCTTCGGAACTGCAAATTAGAGAGTAAAATGTTTAACCTCAACGGCTCTTAGAAGACACTACTGCCCAACAGGCAGCACAGTTCTGGAACTGAGGATGCCAGCACCCTTTTCTGGTCACACTCCGCTCTCAGTGGACGAATGACAAGGCTCCGGGCATCTGCTGCCTCACTATGTGGGTACAGTAGCTTAATTATTTAGACGTAAGAGCCTTCATTAATAACCCCAGTAAATTTGTAGAGTTTGAGAATGAATAAAAACAGTGTAAAAAACAAACGAAAATATTATGTTCACATCCCCCTGCCAGGAGTGAATAAATGCCTTGTAAAAGAGACCATTCTTTTCATTTCCTTCTACAACTATAAACAATAAATATTTATTTTATGGATATTAACAGCTGTTTCTAAATGAAATTGAACAATTTAAATTAAAATGATGGGATTCTAATCTAATGCCTCTCCTTCCCCCATTCCCACTCTCCCAAAGGAATGGGAATGTGTCTGTTCAATATTATGCCTTCAGCTGCCTGTTTCTATGTTTTGGAAATCTTTGGAAGTAATTTAGTTCTTACCAAACCCCTAAGCTTTCCACCCAACTTGATGTACTATTTTTTACCTGGAAGATATTTTAGGGAAATGGAAATGGAAATCAGTGATCAACTCCAATCTTTGATAAAAACTCCTCAAACTATGTTGGGAAATCCATCATGGTTTATGGATTAGGAGCGTGGATAAAGCAAGTGTAAAAATTTTTTTTAAGTTAAGATATACATCGTAGATTTTAGGTTACCAAGCAACCTAAAAGTTGAAAATCCATGTTCTAATTTCAGGATATTGAAATTTAAAAAATATATATTTTACCTGGTCTTCCTTTTTTCAGCAAATCAACAAATATTATTAAGCACCCATATCCAGGCTTACTCAAAACGATCCTTGTCCTTGGGTAGGCAGCCAAGAAGGACACACATGGATTAATCAAAAAGCAGTCCTAAATAGAATATAGCTGAATGCTTCAACAGTGCTTGTATTACCATCGGTGCCAGATGAGCTCATAAGAGGGGGACATCCTATATAATAAAAGGCTAATATGCAAATAGACCGAACAGAGGAACAACTGGACAACCGGTCGCTATAACATGTGCTGACCACCAGGGGGCACGTGCAGAACATGGTGGGTATTGGCAGCAGGCGGCAGAGTGTAGAACATGGCAGGTGTTGGCTGCGGTGGTGGGATGGTGGAGCAGGTGAGCGGGGGCATCAGACCAAGGCGCCGGGGCACTGGTTGCTGTCATTGGAGTGAGCTCTGGTGGTTACTGAAAATTCTTTGCTCCTGCACACCGGGATCCCGCCCGGCACTCGCACCCGCTCCTGGCACCATCAGTGGGTGTGAGCGGGGCTGGCGCGGTCAGTGCATGGCAGCACCAGTGGGAATGGGGCTGCCAGCAGACAGGGGACCGAGGGCCGTGGTGGGAGGGGCCAGACTAGGGCTCTCAGGATGGGCTGATGAGGACCTGAGGGTCCAGGATCCCGTGGGGTTGCTTGGCTTCATGCAGGAAAGAATCAGATTTGAATCAGCATAGAATTTAAAGTGAAAATGAGTTATTAGTGAAACAGTGAGACAGAGAACGAGCTACTCCACTGACAGAGACCCCTTTATTAAAGAACTTATTTCCTTTATTAAGGTTCATTTAATTGTGGTGTGTGGGGGGGTGGGAGTGAGCATTCAGTAAGGGGGAGGTATATTCAGGATCTTCCCGGGAAAGAGGTGGAGATTTTTCAGAGGAGCTCTGCCAGCCATTTTGTGTCCTTATATAGGCTCTCTGTTTCTGGGTGTGTCATAGAGGGTGCTAATGTATTACAATGAGTGTATAATGAGGCTAGGGGTTACTGTTAGATGAAATTAGTCCTCATGTTGGATAGAGTTGGTCTCTGCCAGTTTTAAACCATAAACCCGGTTCCTTCTGCTTGACACTTCCTGTAACTTTATCGGTTGCCGCTGTCCTACCACATACCCTCTATCTCAGAAGGAGAGATGTCCAGGAAGGCACAGGGGGCAGATCACTGAGATGCATGGGGAAAATAGTTTATCATCCCGGGATACAGGATTTGAGAAGAAGATGGCACCAGAACACAGAGAGCTCTGTAGGCATGTGGACATATTCTGTAGGTGTTAGGGGACCACAGAAGAGTTTTGAGTAAGATAGTGATGTAAGAAAAGAAAAAT